AACAGTAGTCATTAAATTAAGATCTACAATATAAAAAACATAAAAGTAAATACATTTAAACATTTTCAATCACAGATATTGCTGAACAACACAAATGGAAGCGAAATTGAACTCTTATTTGTGTACATTAGTGTAAAGCATAACAGATCTTACCAAAGACAGTATTCACCGGGTTCATGGCGACCTGGTTCTTAGCTGCATCACCAATTAGCCTCTCGGAATCGGTGAAAGCGACATAGGACGGCATCGTTCTGTTTCCTTGGTCATTTGCGATGATTTCCACACGGTCGTGCTGCCACACGCCAACGCACGAATACGTTGTGCCGAGGTCAATTCCAATAGCTGGTCCCTCTCTTTTTCTTGCCATTGCCGCTCAGATATGAATCGGCTGTATATTCAACGTAAAAAACGGAGAGAGAGAGCTTGATGTTTGAAAATTATGGTTTCAAAATACGAAGAACGTAACGGAATAAGGACAGTATATATACGTGCAACTGAGTCTGCCATTGAAATGGTTCTCGGGTTCGAGAATATTCGAATGGATTGTAGCTGTTGGATTGGTTGCGAAAAAATATTTGACGATGTGAGATTCTCCTTTAATTTCGGTTAACTTTGACGCCGGTCCTTGCCACGCGTGTCGCAAGATTCCTTGAAAGAATAATGTTATATATACAGTCATCAGTGGGTTGTAAATTTTACAGTCCACTCACATTAGTATGGGGCCACTAATTAATTCTCATACTAATTTTACAGTCCACTAATGACTGTATAAATGACTTTTTTGAACTTGAAAGGCTTATTAGAATAAAACATTCATACGATTTACTCTTAACTTGTGTTTGACACCCATTTTGGGGAAAAATAAATTTTGGAATAGTGATTGATAGAAGAACGTGTAGTTAAAAAGTAATGTGAATGTTTAAATTTATGTGTAATATTACTTTATTGATAGAATGTGTGGTTGAAATGAAAAAAAAAGTGTCAAACAGGGGCTTCATGTGCAAAACGTTATCATGTTTCAATTTTTTTGTATTTTCACCCTTATTTTAACGTTTCATTGTGAAAAACGTCATTTCATCAATTTTATCCAATTTCTGAAGTAAAAATTGTAAAATGACAAATATACTATTTTATTTAAATAAAATAAAAAGAAAAAAATTACAATCATACTCTCATTTTTTAAAAAGAAGTACAAATAAATCCCCAATAAATTAAATTGAAAAATAAAAAAAGTAAAGTAAAGTCGTCGTCTTCTTCTTCTTCCTCCCCCTTTTCCTTTCCTTTTCTCGTCCATCCCATCTCATCCCATCCCATCCCCACCCCTACCTCTCACACTCACCACGAAATGAACCCAGAAAATAGATTGGAAAATTAGAGGATTTAGAAATACTAAAAATCAATCTCTCATGTTTCTCACTAAATGGTGTAGAAATAATTAGATCGGTTTTAGGATTAAACAAAAGATGGTTTTTCTTCTCATTATTGTCACTTGCATTGTTTTTGACTTCCACAAGCTTTCTTGACTGGAGATGACTTTTCTGTAGGTGGCAGTCATGGTACTTTTTTGATGGAGCACTACATCTCTTGAAAACCTTTATTTCTTGCCATATGTTTGCTTGCACATTTCTAGATTACCAATCATTGTATTCAAACATCAGTACCAAGAAACATCTTATTAAAATCCACATCTAATCGAGTGCCAAAAGTGTAAAAAAAAAAGAAATCATCGTAGAAAAAGAAGATCACCAGGAAAAAGAAGATTAGCAGGCACATGGTGAAAAATGCAAAAGTTTGAAAAGTATGAATTTTTTACACACTGAAGGCCAAACGCAGTGACATTTTGCACACAAAAGGTCAAATGTATGGACGTTTTGTACTAATATGCCTTATAGATCATGGCTTGTCTTTCAAGCTCCTTCCTTTGAACAAATATAAAAGAATTCCCTTTATTTACGATCAATTCATTCCTACTTGGACTCACACAACAAAACAAAATCAACTTTTGATTTACATAGTAAGAAAAAAGAAATAGTGATTTAATTACTTGACGATTTGAAGGCGGTGACTGTGGCGATTAGAGCTGTAAATGGATCGAATATGCCTATATCCGATTGGATCCGATAATCCAACGGATATTCGGATATCCGATAATCCAATCTGAAATTAATAAAAATTAAGAAAAAAAAATTTTGAACTAACTTGAGGCTCACCTATTTTTCCTAGTAAACCCAATAGTGACTTCTACCATCATGATATTCCTTTTTAAATGAGAGACAATCTTCTATTTTTCTATTGACATTCGATGTGTGATAATGTAAAATTGAATTTCAATTCTAAATATAAATATTTTATTTCATTATTTCTATAAACAAATCAAATTATTTGTTACATATTAATTATTAGTTTTTGAAATTGTAAAATTAATTACAATAATAAATTTAATTAAGAAAAATAT